CGTGGGGGCGTCCGGGCCCGTGGCCGCGGCTCCGGAGGCTCCGGAGGCGCATGGAAGTGCCTGGCTCCCGCTTTTCCCGCCTGGTGTTCAACGCCCTCCTCTGCTCTCCCTCCATCCGCGGCTGCAGCCTGTACCTGTGTCCGTGCCGTTGGCATGGGACGAGCGAGGGGACGTGTCCCCCTGCGCGGGGCTCGAGGCGCCCTGAACACCCGCAGGGCACCCCTAAAACGCGTCTTTAAAGCATTACCCCTTCAGCCAAAGCTCTTGGTGGTGAAGGAGGGAGATGCTGGAGATGGGGTAGAACTAGCAGCCCCCAGCAGGGCGTTTGAGCAGGGAAGGGGCCAGGCCACGAGGTCGGAGGGTTTCTGCTCCCTCGTGCCAAGCTCCGATAATTCCCCGGTCCAGCTGCTGGGGCTGCCCTGTGCTTCAGATCTCGTGTCAAAGCGGCGCGTGGGACAGGGCTGGTGGGACGGGCGGTTGATACAAAACCGCGTCCCTGCTAAACGCAATCGGCACCGTGACATGGGGACGATGACTCTTTCGTGGCTCGGGCCGCTCTTCGGAGCTGCCGCGTCGCAAACGAGCAGCCTGGGGGTTACTGCACACTACGGATGTCGCTGTATTTTGCAAATGTTGGGCTAAAAGGTGCCTTATGCCATGTCCTGCTCTGCTCAGCAGCGCGGCCGGAGGCAGCAGAGGAGCCCGGCGCGGGGCTGCTGCCAGCACGGAAACCCTCAGGGCTCCAGGACACGATTTCTCTGTTACGGAAGTGCAAAATGTGGAACAGGTTTAAAAGTGACTTTGGAGGAACCGGTGCAGGTGTTTGGCTGTTGGTGATGGGAGCAGGTTGACGGATCAGGTTGTGGGGATGTTTCCCTCCCCTCTGGGGCTCTGCCTTTAATAATATGCCTCTTCCCTACTACACTTCAAAGACAATTAGCTCCTCTCTCTTGGCCACAAAAAAGCATTTGCTTCCAAGAGATATCTGTAATCTTCGGCAGGATCCCTCCTTTCTCATGGTGTGCCCGTTACGTCGGTGCCTGCCCAGCCAAAGCTCGGGCTGTTCCAGTCTGCCAAGGGCAGCGTGTTCCCGTTGCAGCGCGAGTGACTGTCCCTGTGCCGCGTGCCAGGGAGCTGGAAATGCCCCACGTCCCATGCGAGCCTGGAGCCGTGTGGGAGACGGGGGGAAAAGAACATGGGGACATGTGGTTTTGAATGCAGATCAAAAGAAATCAGGTGTGCAAATATATACTGATAAGATTTTAAAATCTTCATCTCTGCCTAGTCCATGGAAACTGCTCCTGGTTAAAGCACTTGTATTTCTGACATCTTTTAGCTCAGTAGTAATTATTCAGTTCCTGTACATTTAACTCGGGGAAAAAAAGAAATCAATAAAGTGTAAGGCTGTTAGCTGCATTGTAAAAACATAATGTACACTGTAATGTCAGTAATAAACTTGGTTTTGCCATGTACAACTTATTTGCTCAGTCCTCCTCTGTTTGGTAGGCAACTTCAGAGTGGAATTACATCCTCCTTTGGTGCATTATAAACTTTGCTTCCTCCCTTGCCTGTTTGAAGAGTAGCTGCTTTAGCCCTTTGAAGCTCTGCAGTGAAGTCAGCACTGCCCTTTCTTTGAAGAACATGAAAACACAAGAGTTGCTGGTGTCCCTTCTGTCAGCTTGAGATAGGTGCTAGCCTGGATCCTGCAAATACTGCAATTCCCCCAAAACTGATGGGGAAAAGTCTTCATTTCTCTCTGGTGGGGGTGACAGACAGTTTTCCAAGATCTACACTAGGTCTTCTAAGGATAAGTTGGAGAAGTCTGAGGCGGAGTGTGGGCCTCACTACAACTCCTTAGATAAAGAGTGAAAACTCCTAGCGCTGCAGCTGTTTCACCATCGCCGGTGCTGCCTGTGTCTGAGACAGCACTGCTCCGCTCCAGCTGCGGGGTTTAAATACACAGATAAATGCTGTCCAAGTGGGGTCTTAAATTGAACAGCTTTGCCTGGATGTGTTTGTAGCATTGAGCTTCTGCAGAGCAAAGCTTGTTTGGCTGCAGTGGCAGGGAGGAGGGGAGCGTGGCTGGTGCAGCTGTTGTGCTGCAGCCCTGGGCTCCCTGCACTCGGGTGTCACTAGCCCAGGCAGTGGCCACCCCTGGTCCTGCTTGGGAAGCCTCCGGCTGTGCCTTGCTCAGGCAGTGAGGGTTGCTACGGTCTCGTGCCTTGCTGAGGTCGCCAGGGCTCTCCTCCCGCTGCCCTGCGCTGCAGAGACGGCAGCAAACCCTGCGGCTGGAAAAAAACACCCCAACCCTTCTCACCGGTATGAAGTGTGTATTTACAGGCGGCGGCAGGGTGTGGGGGAGGGGGGGTCCCCGCCGGGGGCGAGCCCCCTGCCCCAGGGTCCTGCCCCGGCTCCGCTGGCCGCGCGGTGCCCGCCGAGGGCTGCTCCGTCGTCAGCGGCTCCTGGCAGCGGGGCAGCTGTCTCGGTTGAGGCACTCTCCGCAGCGAGGGTTCACGGGCAGGCAGGTCTGCTGGCCAAAGCCCACCAGGAGCCAGTTTATCTCCTTCCAGAGGTCCCTGCCGTGAGAAGAGTGTGAGCAATCCAAGGCGCTTGTTCAGAGGGTTAAAGAGCAGCCCATGCTTTTAAACCCCCTTACAGCTACTTCCCTTTTGCCCCTCACGCCTGCAGGCCCTGGGTCCCAGCTAAGCCCAGCCCAGCCCCTCCTCATCCCTCTGAAATGGGGTTCGGGGGGGCACATGGGGTCATTGCCTTGTACCACAGGCCAGACACAGAGATGTGGCAGGCCAGGAGGTGCCACCCGTCCATTGACATTCACTATAAAAAATGAAGCACAATCCACGGCTATAATCCAACCACAACCTGATGTTGCTGGGGCTCTTGGGCTCAGCGAGGTCACAGGCGGAACAACACCCGGTAACCTTGTCCGGGCAAGAGACACCAGCAGCCAGGCCTGCAGGTACAGCTCAAGAGTGACGGCTGACAGCAGGGAAACAGCCGAGACGCTGTTGCTGCTCCCAGGGAGCATTAGTGGGTTCACTCCCCGCAGAAAACAAGACACCCCACTACTGTAGTCACTGAAAACACTGCGTGCAGGGCTGGGGGCAGGACAGTCGCTGCTACCAGCACGAGGGTCTCTATGGAGAGAGCGGGTGTCACATCTCACCTGGGCAGCCAGTCCTCCAGGGCCAGCCGAGTCTCCTCCGGGGATCTCGTCTCCTTCTTCACCCACTTCAGCCTGTTTGTGATTCTGTGCACGTGGGTGTCCACACCTAGCACGGGAGATCGCAGAGCCTCACTGCAGACAGCCCGGCCAAGGCCACTTGTTGCAGCAAACCAGCTGCAACACCCAACAACGCGTTTTCCTTGGGGCCCTCCGGGAACGGGGCAGGCAAAAGGGCTAGGAAGGGTGACTGCCGGAGCGAGCTAGCTTCGTCCTAGGACCACAGCCAAAAGCAGAGGGGACAGATATCTCACAGCCAGCAGTGCAGGGCTGCAGCTCTTCCTTAAGGCGCATGTGCTGCGACGCCGCATGCGCTCCCTCCTGCTGCGCTTCAGCTGCTGTTATGCAAGTTGCAATCTCTGCCCCTTCCTTTGCCCAGATGGAAAACACATTTCATAATACCTACTAAGACAAGAGGGTTTGTGCGGCTTAAATGAATGTTTGTAAAATGCTTTGAGCTAAAAAGCTCTGAGTGCAAAGTATATTATTGTTAGATCAGCAGCGATAAACCTGTCTCTATGGCTAATTGGGCAAAACCCAGGAAATTGCTGTAAACAGGAAGACTTAAGTCTTGCCTCCTAAATCAAAACTGAACACACAATTATTTGGAAAACACTTGGTCAGTTTGGCTCCTCTAGACTTCCCTCCCCCACGCCAGGGAGGGAATAGGAGGTCCAAAACGCCGCGGAATCCGGTGCCGGAGCCACGCGCGGCGCGGCCGGCACCACGGGGCAGCAGGAGCGAGCGCTGCCCGCGCTGACCTTGGCACTGCACACCTGGGCAGCACGAGCCCTTTGGCACCGCTACCAGCTTTCCCAGGGCTCCTCCATTAAGCAGGAAAATGCACTCGGAATATTAATCTGTCCCCAGCGGCCGCGGAGCGCGGCTGCCGGGCCGATCTCCCAGCCCCATCTGCCGGCTGCTGTCCCAGCTGCACTTCCAAAAGGAACCGGGAGGAACGAGGCTGGCCCGGAGCCGTCCCCAGGCGCCCCTTGCTGAAGCCCACGGTTCCACGGGGGTGCTGCTAAGCCCTCAAGAATGATCAAGAAAAAGGGCAAAGAAACAAATGCACCTCTTATCACAAGTCTGCTCCTCAGCTAAGCGTCCAGCCACGGGGACTAAAACGGGGCAGAAATCGGTAGCCACAGAACCAAATCCTTTGGCAATGCATGAACTGGAAGTGGCCGAGGACACAAAGCCACACCTGGGCTGCAGGTGAAGCGACGCCCTCAGGTGCCGGCCCCAGGAATGCGTCAGGCGGGATCTAGGAGGAGAGGAACGTGGAGAACACGGGCCAACCTACTTATCCCGCAGACCCTGTTCCACGCAATGTGCATAGCCAAGTGGGCCATCTTGGGGCCAACTCCCGGCAGCTTCACCAGCTCCTCCACGGTGCCGGGGATGTCGCCCCCGTACTGCTGCTTCAGGATGGCTGTCGTCTGCTTTATGTACTTCACCTTGTTCTGCAAAGGGAAAGGCAGAAAATGCAAGATCCTCTCCAACGCGGGGGGAAAAAGAGCGAAAAAAAAAGAAAAAAGGCTCAGAAAACAACCCATTCCTGTGCGTATGTGTGAGGTCGCACACTTGGGTTTGCAGAGGGACACAGAGGTTTTGGTTTCTCCCCGAAAGCCAAATGC